TTGCGGTCGAGCAAGTCGAGAAATTTCTGTGAGTGCACCTTCGACTTGGCAACACGGGATTGAAGGTCCAGCAGTTCCACCTCCACGTTTTCTTTACCGCGAAGAAACTGAGAATTGAACAACAAAAACGGAGTTTCATAGAAGCCAGGGAATTAGTCCCCAGAACCCAATGATGACAGCTTTTCAGAACCCTGTCAACACCAGTTAGATATGAAATCCTGTCACTGCAGTGCTACCAAAATATGACAGACACTTAAGAAGTGCCATCAGCAGTCCAATTTTTCCACAGCAGAAATGAGAGATGAAGATCGAAGAGCCATATTTTCGATTTTTGTTAGGAATGGGAAATCGCTATACGGGAAGAATGTCATCCAAAGTGAATAGAACAATCCCAATGGATGATGTAGTAATAATTTGTAGATAGTGAAAATTTATCGAGAACTGATGGAACACTGAAAATCGGATCACCATCGTTCCATGTTGATCGATGTCGATCTTCAATGTAGAATATTCCAAATTTTTGCTCACTTCAAAGCCCTTCAACGCTTGTCTTCCAAAGAGCGTAAAATATAAGTACTGTAGTTCATCATTTTTTTAAACTGAGTTTTGGAGATACATTTCTCCCCCATGCAGATTCAGGTGATTCTCAAACATCGTTTCTTTCGGAAAATTTGTTTCCAACTAGTATATTGAAGAGGATGGAATATTTTTTTAGGTCAAGCTCATGAAATGTTTTCAGGTGGGAAGATATCACATGTCGTATCCGGAGATATTGTGAAACAGAAGGTTTAATATTGAATGAACAAACTCATTATAAAAATCAAAATTAAATACGATGTTGCTTATCTTAAACAATATACGAAATTCATATCAATTTGAAGAAGGTACAGCGTGATCATTGATGAAACTCCAAATCAAATCGATGAAAAGATTGGAAAAGCAGGAAATAAATTGTAATTCAGTCATTCAGTCATGCGCTCAACATTTAGGTATTCCTCGAAGTAGCGGGAAAAAATCTGATGTCGGTCATTTCACAATCCAGCTTCGAAAGAAACAATGATTACACAAATGGTGGAAAAATTACCGGTACACAAATTTCGGACATTTGAAAATCACAATGAAAAAATGATCAAAACATAGATTTTAAACTATATTTGAATCAAGTCGAAATATCCGATTCCCGGGCAGTGAAAAAATACACGCAATAAAAAATGACAAGCTCTCTCATCATTACAAGCGAGGATGTAGTTCCTGCAATAAACGTTCTTTACGTTCCCGATTCCATAGCAAAAGTTTTCAAGAAGTAAGATGGAACCTTTTTTTCTTTTGTTTAGAAAATATTTCGGCCTTTAAGTATTGTCTCCAATTGTTCCCAATGTTTTGGTATGTATGCCAAAGGAATAGAATACTGTATGTCAATCCAAGATTATCTCGGTTTAAATGACAGAAAACGGTATTCTTTCAATTGCTGAACCCTTGGCCAAATATCTACTTTCTGGAATTTTTATGCTTTCACCAATCTTCCATTTTTATGAGAATTAATTGGAAAAATGGTGATCTATTGAGGTTGTCCAACCAAATCTGAGACATAATAGCAGGACTTTGAGTCACGACACAAGAAAAGCATTTATCCAAAATGTTTTGGCAATGCACCTATGCAGGTAGTTTTTGAAATTTTGGTCAAGTTCTTCCGTTCATAGCATTCAAGATGCAGTATTTCTTCAAAATGTTTCTCTTACCGTTAAAGCTCGCCTGGCTTTCATTTCAGTCGACTTCCGGAGTAGCCACGTGGGTGATTCCGGAAACAAGAAAGCGAGCAACAGATGGACTGTCATCAATACGGCGTTCAGGATGGCTAAGCCACGCCAAGACAAGAACAATGCCGCCACGCTACCGATGAATGCATACCAGCATTGGGCTAGCATCCCAGTGGATGAAATGAATCCACGGACTTCTACTGAAGTTATCTCCGTGAGGTAAATCTGACCGATTGAACTGGAAATGCCGCCACACATGCCAAGTATAGTGCGTGAAATGAAAAATACATAGATGGTGTCTCCAAATGCAAGCATGAGCCAGCTCGCAATTATAGGCAGCAATAGCAGCAGAAGGATCGTGCGTGGGCCTTCCAGGGTTGTCATGAAAGGGCCAACGATTGGGCCGAACGTCATTGCTAGAAGTAAAACGCTGTCTGCAACCAGAATCTCTAAGTTAGAGAAGTGAGCAATCCAATTCCAAAAAACACAGTTTTCGTGCAGAAGGCTGCGGGAAAAGATATAAAATTAAACGATGGCTATGGTCTCAATAAATTTTGTGAGTATTCCTGGTATGGGTATGATTACACGCTGCTCTTCTTTCACAAATTTTAATCAGTAATCTTTGAAGATTACCTTAATAAAACACATGCTTGTTTAAGATAAAAATTAAGATCAGTGAAGATTCAGGCATCCGTCTTCTGTAACAGGCATTTCCCAGGCCCTTGGGTTTCACAGATCGTACAACTTTTAAAACGCGGTAATTCATGCTACAACACTAGCTGGTTGTAACTGCTCATTGTTCATCAGTGATAAGGTGTCAAAAGCTTCATCAGTTCTACTTCGTCTAGAATAGAGATATTTAAAATTTTCCTCGGTTGTGAAGCCATCAAATAGGTAACACATATCCACTTGCGGCTGGTTTTATATGAAATACTGTTTACAAGTAGTAAAATTCTGTTCCCTCGAATTCATTCAAAACCTCAGATGCATTTCTTGCACGAGGGCGGATTGTACATGAATAAATTCTTGATTTCTACAACATGCATGAAACAAATAACACTTTAATAAATCTTGATTATTCCGGATGCTTTTGTATTGTGCTATGGAAACAATTAAGCTTATCACACTCGCAGTTAGTAGTGAGTAGTGACACTGTTTCTTTGCTCAATGCTTCAAGTAAATGTTCACCGGTGCAAATCCTTCCTTAGAAATATGTTCCACCCAATTTAACTGAAGTACTTCATGCTCTTGGATTTTTGGCTTGCTCGGTCCTTCGGCTAGAATCGGCTTGCCGTGTTGCACATATTCATGATATGATTATCTATTGAGAAAAAAAAGCACCAGTGCAGAAAAAGTATTATGATATAAACATCACAATCCCATTTTTTAAATGTCTATATAAGCATCATGAGGGCGGTCATGTAATCCGCAGGAGAACTTACTGAAAGCCGCCTTTTCGGATTCGCCCATGATGAATGGAGCATTTTCATCCCGTTCGAAGGACGGTATTCCCACCGCAGAAAATGTTCCTCCGGTTGATGCTATGATCCCACTCAAGGATCCGAGAGAAGCGCAAATCACCTTAGATAAATCGAATGCATTCAATGATGCACTCTGAACCTGAATGCCAATAAAATGGATATATTCGTGTTGAATCATGCATAGCAAATACAACAATAAACTAACACGTCATCCCCAAATATCATCGATTCGACAATAAGGAAATTCCGAAAAATCATATGCAGTCCCAGTAAGAGAAAGCTCTTTTGAATACGAATTCACCCCAGTTACTTACCTGATTAAAAAATCCTGGTTGCTGATAAATATGTTTTTGCGCTGATTTTCCTGTCATCCTGACGCATCAATCGATCTCACCAGTCCGTTATAGCTAGTAGCCTTTAAGTTTGTACGTTTACCAGAGATCCAGCTCAAGTACAGTTAGGTGCTTACAGGACAGTTAACGAGTTTTGTGCTCAACGTTAGGAGGAGGTGTAAGGTCTCACTGTCACCACACGTAAATCTTGGAAAATCTTGAAATTCTGTTTCAAAACGAAAGAATCTTGAATTCACATCACGCACGCGTTTAGTATGAATACTTTTTTCTATCGAAGGGCGGAACTTGCATTTTTTGCAGTCATCGGCTATCCTTGAATAGAACAGCAGGAGGGTTCAATACACTGCGGATGGAACTTCCATCAACGAGGATCATTCCTGTAAGGATATCGTTAGACTTGTAATGCACGCCGTCAAAGGTGAAATACTGACACATTGATTTTAATACCATGTGGTCATGGATGCATTTAAATTTTTGTGTACGAGAACGCGTCGGGTCGTCTACGGACATACTCGTACTCGTGCGTACACTAGTAGACTTTCTCAGGAGGCGTAAAATTTCCCGTAACAGCTCCGTAAAAAGAGTAGATATTAATCGTATTCTTCAGGGAAACGTGCTTGACTGCGGAACATGAACTACTGTATGCTAGTAATACTGGTAAATGAATAATGATTGCCTGGTCTTCAATACTGGTCGCTTTCAAAACAGTTTTCCTTTCTCTCAAATACAATACAAACAGAATATCGCTGTTTCCAGGATTACGAACACGTATTTTTCATTATACGTTGTTCTGTGCCCTTATTGCCGTATCACAGTTGATTGTATCTTGCTCATTCTTACCTGTTGAGTACGAGTAACTCGAACATAGTCCAAATGTCGATGGAGGGTTTCATATTTAAAAAATGATCGAATCTCCACTTATTCGGATTTCGAGGTGGCATTGCATTTCTGCTGTGAGTATCATGATTAAAATAGTAAACATATCTACTCAATAACGATAAAAATGGACTGCCAGAAAATAGAGTGATTACCTGATTATTCTACACAATGGCACCAGAATGGCACCCGTTTTTCTTCGTGACCCCACCGATCACCCACTCCCCGACTTTTCATTCTTTCTTTTCCTTGGGACATGCCTTTGTGATTCAATAGTTCTGTACGGTTAGGGTTTGCAATGGTAACAACAAATTAAGGATCATTTCAGAGTTCTGTAATTTTATTCCACAGTGGAAATTTTCATCAGGTTGATTTAATTAGTTTTATGGTTATATCCTGAGGGAAGGAAGAATTAAGGGGTGCCATTTCCGAGGAGACTGCTGGTATGGAGGTTTACAGGCAGAGCAGGTTTGGCGTGTTGACTGGACAGCAGATTCAGAAAGGTGGAACTCAAAAGCACCATCTCCTCATTTCATTTTATCAAAGTCATTTCCCAATAATATAACCCATTACCTTCTGTGGGCTCCATAACCTACATTTGGGACTTGGGTGCTTTTTGTCCCCCCAAAAATTACCATCAAAGCAAAACTTATGTAAAAGTATGTTGTGGCTCAACAATGAAGTTATATACAATTCAAGACCTCATTTGCCAGGTTTCATCAACTTTTCATTCCACAGAAGCATGTTTTCTGAACACAAATTACAAATTCCTTTGGGAAGTTGAGACATGATTTTTTGAATGCATGAAAAGTTCTTTCTAATGCAGCAAAACTAAAAAAAATCCTTGTAGCATGGTTAGTTTTGAATGCTTTAGCATATTTCATTTTATTTTCTGATTTTTTTTATTCATCACAACAGATGCAGAAACCTTGATCCCCAAATCAGGCTCATGGCAGGTAGAATGTAAAAATAATTATCAAATTTTCCCAAAAGTGTGTCAAAAAGTTCTTTATCTTGAATATAACTAACTGCTGGACTGATCATGAATAATTAATTATGGAAACATGTGAAACACAAGAAATTGTCTTGGAAATAAATTATGCAGCAGGAAAATCTTGACAAATTACTTGGTTTATAGGCTGAATGATGATCAAAGATTTCTTTGCTTCACAAAAAATCTTCAGAATTGTTTAGATAAAAATATATGCATATCATTCCTGGTGACATTCTAGCATCAAAAATGTATCAGAATAAATGTTTAAACTTTCATTTAGCTCACAATGATACAATTTAGTCAAATATATTAGCAGCCCTGATGTTGTAGGTTTTGTAGCCCTTGAAGTTATCTTTCTTGCACTTTTTTCAAAATGTTTTTTTGGCAGAATTTAAAGTGAATATAACTTTTTGGGGTGATTTGAATTTATTGTATGAAAAGGTACATTTACTTTAATTCTGCCAAAAATCCAAAAATGAAGTTAGTAACATTTTGAATGAGTGTTGGAAAGAGAACTTCAAGGGCTAGAAAACCCAAGGATCAGTTTTGCGTTTTCTGTAAATGTTTGGCAAAATGTTAAGTAAATGTAACTTTTGGTACAATAATTCCACAATCTCCCAAAAGCCTTCTCATGTATTGCATGGTAATTTTCATGTCCTATTTGATGGTTCTAGCTTGTTGATCAAGATTCCATTATAATAGATCAAATTTCTCTGGTGAAAGTTCTTCATAGATAGGGGTTTCGAATTTGGACATCCTATAGACTGTATAGACTATAGAGGGTAATTTATGGCATTCGTTTCATCCTCACTTCTGCGATGATAAATGTATAGTCACAAAATATTCATCACAAGTGAGTGAGTAACTGAAATTAAAACATTCACGAGTTATCAAACACAAAAACGGCATTTGTATCTACAGAAGGTTTCCGGTTTTCTCTTGCAATAGAGGCATTACTTCAACTTGCATGAAAGGATAAAGGCGAAGAGCAATTAACAAACACACATCAGCGTGTGGGCAGCGGAAGAGGGAGGAAGCCGACTCGGCATTTCCTAAGGCAAAGAACCGGAAACGGGAATTGACACTACTGGTACATTACAATGCTCTTAAGGACATTAAAAATACTGTACCTCAATAGTCGTTGTAAAAAGCCCAAGATGCTCATCAAATTGACGAACACGCGTACTCCATTCCGTCCGGTAACTGAGTATAAAATCGTTGGATTGTCGAAGAAACTAGAAAAACGTGCCCGCGCCAGTGCCGCGAAGTGCTGGACCACGAAGTCGAATCAGATCAACAATTGACCACTCCATGCAAGTTGCAATTTGCGATGNCGTACACTAGTAGACTTTCTCAGGAGGCGTAAAATTTCCCGTAACAGCTCCGTAAAAAGAGTAGATATTAATCGTATTCTTCAGGGAAACGTGCTTGACTGCGGAACATGAACTACTGTATGCTAGTGATACTGGTAAATGAATAATGATTGTCTGGTCTTCAATACTGGTCGCTTTCAAAACAGTTTTCCTTTCTCTCAAATACAATACAAACAGAATATCGCTGTTTGCAGGATTACGAACACGTATTTTTCATTAGACGTTGTTCTGTGCCCTTATTGCCGTATCACAGTTGATTGTATCTTGCTCATTCTTACCTGTTGAGTACGAGTAACTCAAATATAGTCCAAATGTCGATGGAGGGTTTCATATTTAAAAAATGATGGAATCTCAACTTATTCGGATTTCGAGGTGGCATTGCATTTCTGCTGTGAGTATCATGATAAAAATAGTAAACGTATCTACTCAATAACAATAAAAATGGACTGCCAGAAAATAGAGCGATTACCTGATTATTCTACACAATGGCACCAGAATGGCACCCGTTTTTCTTCGTGACCCCACCGATCACCCACTCCCCGACTTTCCATTCTTTCTTTTCCTTGGGACATGCCTTTGTGATTCAATACTTCTGTTCTGTTAGGGTTTGCAATGGTAACAACAAATTAAGGATCATTTCAGAGTTCTGTAATTTTATTCCACAGTGGAAATTTTCATCAGGTTGATTTAGTCAGTTTTATGGTTATATCCTGAGGGAAGGAAGAAAGTTAGGGTTTGCAATGGTAACAACAAATTAAGGATCATTTCAGAGTTCTGTAATTTTATTCCACAGTGGAAATTTTCATCAGGTTGATTTAATTAGTTTTATGGTTATATCCTGAGGGAAGGAAGAATTAAGGGGTGCCATTTCCGAGGAGACTGCTGGTATGGAGGTTTACAGGCAGAGCAGGTTTGGCGTGTTGACTGGACAGCAGATTCAGAAAGGTGGAACTCAAAAGCACCATCTCCTCATTTCATTTTATCAAAGTCATTTCCCAATAATATAACCCATTACCTTCTGTGGGCTCCATAACCTACATTTGGGACTTGGGTGCTTTTTGTCCCCCCAAAAATTACCATCAAAGCAAAACTTATGTAAAAGTATGTTGTGGCTCAACAATGAAGTTATATACAATTCAAGACCTCATTTGCCAGGTTTCATCAACTTTTCATTCCACAGAAGCATGTTTTCTGAACACAAATTACAAATTCCTTTGGGAAGTTGAGACATGATTTTTTGAATGCATGAAAAGTTCTTTCTAATGCAGCAAAACTAAAAAAAATCCTTGTAGCATGGTTAGTTTTGAATGCTTTAGCATATTTCATTTTATTTTCTGATTTTTTTTATTCATCACAACAGATGCAGAAACCTTGATCCCCAAATCAGGCTCATGGCAGGTAGAATGTAAAAATAATTATCAAATTTTCCCAAAAGTGTGTCAAAAAGTTCTTTATCTTGAATATAACTAACTGCTGGACTGATCATGAATAATTAATTATGGAAACATGTGAAACACAAGAAATTGTCTTGGAAATAAATTATGCAGCAGGAAAATCTTGACAAATTACTTGGTTTATAGGCTGAATGATGATCAAAGATTTCTTTGCTTCACAAAAAATCTTCAGAATTGTTTAGATAAAAATATATGCATATCATTCCTGGTGACATTCTAGCATCAAAAATGTATCAGAATAAATGTTTAAACTTTCATTTAGCTCACAATGATACA